TGACTTGCAAATTAGATAACAAAAAGCCAGGCATGCGGAGTAGAAAGGTAGAGCACCGAGTGGTTAGTAAGAGTTCCGAATTGGAGATTCACATCTCTGAAACTGCCTGGAGAGAGCACGGTAGAGCCCCTTAGTTTACAAAGAAGAAAATAATAAAAGTTTTATTTCTAAGCCTATTTCCTTTGATCACAGCTATAAAAACACAAAAAAGTAAAGCTATCTAATAGCGTTTCCAAAGAGTCAAAAACAAAAGCAGAAAGGCTTATGAGTAATATTTTATCAGCCTCCTCATTCTAAAACCTCATACACTAACCTCCACCCATCGACCCTATCTGCAAATTAATCTTATATAATTTATAAATTCAAACCAAGATTATAAACCACACACCTTGAGAACAGTAGGCCTTAGGAACAGAATACACTACACTTTGATGTCATCCTTACTTTCATATTCAAACAGTTTTGGAAGCTGAGAATAAGATCCAAGGCTTCCTATGGGATACCAGGATATTACAGAGGAAATAAAGTTTTTACTGTCACAGCACCTTCCTTGATATTTTAACTTTTTATCTTGATAACCTTCAAGATGGGACTCCATAGTCATCAGCCACTATTTTATATGCATCATGCTTTCTAGTAAATCAGACAGCAGTCTCCAGTCCTAAAGGGATTCTACGTTCATCCCAAATTTGGGAGCACAAGATAGGGGAGAAGTCTATTACATGCTCCTCTGAACAAAAATAAAATTAAATATCTTGGCCTAAGCATGAAAGCAGCAAAGCAGTCAGACAGAATCATTTCATCTGTAACAGGGCAAGTGTACAGCTCCCTGAGAAGAGCAGCCCTAAGTATTTCTGTTTTAACAGCTCACAGGGAATGCACAAAATCTATCATTCCTCCCTGATGTATGAAAAACTAAAGGGCAATTTCCTAGCAACTTCGGTGCTTTCTAACTTAATGACTGAACTTACAGGAAAGCAAGTAAAAAATTTAAGTGTTTACAAGAAAGCAAAGGAAAATGCTGCAAAAATTATTTGGCTGGCAGGCCGCAGAGAAAACCGGAATCTTTGCAGGACTCACCGAAGTACAGAACTGTTTTAAAACTGAAAGTCAAACAGCTTTGAACAGGTATTAAGTATTTTATACAAGAAAATTATCAAACGTACTTTCTTTTTTTGATATCATAAATAGAATCATTTCTATTATGAAAAAACTATAGTTATACAAAAATAATTAAACTGCTAGGACAAGAATAAATAACGAGTCACACAGTGTTATTAGTCAATGTTGGCCTTAAAAAAAAGACCAGAGAATTTCAAAATGCTTATGAATAATCAAGTACGACTCCCATATTTCCTAAGCAGGTAGTGATACTAAGGACATGGTTTTCACAGAAATACATTCCACTTATTTTTATGTATTAATTATACTAACAAACAAAAATGACTAACTAACTACAAATAAAAATGAATTGACTCGGATAGCTTCTTCAGAAAATTTTTTTTATTAAAAATAAAACCTGTGGTAAACTACAGAATTAGAGAAGATTAACAAATTTTAAAATTCCCTCCAAATTATTTTTGGAAAAAAAAAAAAGCCAGTACCCATGCCACAGAAAAATGTAAATAGCTTATAATCCTTAGATTCCTTTCACATAGCTAATGGGGATCTCATTTCTGCAATTTCTGCATACTTAACTGAAATGTTAAAGAAAAGGAGAAATATTTAGATGTTAATAAAAAGTTATTCTAATTATCCTACTTCACTATCTAACATCAGCTCAACCAAGTTCAATATCTAGTAAGTGCCTGGTCTGCTTCGGTAGGGTTTGTTTTTTTTTTTTCTATTTTAAAATCACTATTAAACAAATATGGTAACTACTAGTTAAAACTCTAAATCCAAATGTCATATGCTGTGTTGTAAAAATGTGCACAGTATTAGTTAAGTATACTTTTCCTTCCATATATTTTTATATCTTTGACCAAACTTTAGCTTATGATTTGTAACCTAAAATAAAAACATTTGTATTTTATGTCAAAAAATCAGTAAATTTCTTTTAAAGTTAGATGCTTCAAAATAAATGATATAAATATTGTAATGAAAGCTGTTATAATTAAAGAAGGTGATTGGTAATGAGGAGGAAAACTGAAGGCATATTCACAATAAATCAAAAGCAGAGTTGTAAACAGCAGCCTCCACAATGATTAGTAATGTTTATTTATAAAATACTGGTCTCTGTGTTAATTCAGACATATAAGCTGATGTGCTTTCTCCTTAATAAATGAAAAATAATTTTCTGGTTTTTTTGTATTTTTAAGGTCAGAACAACTGTTTATAAAAACAGAAGACAACTTCCAGAATCTTTCTCTTTCCCTATTTCAAAACTACGAGTTTTTATTTTTATCTTTTCAAATTCTTGAAATTCAATGACAATGTCATAGCTCTGAAAACCAAGATAATAGAAACCACCAACTGCAGGAGACAGCCTTGATGCTTTTGATTATATTTTCCTAGAAAGATTGATATGATATTGGTATTTAATCTCAATAGCCATTTTTTTTTTTAGAGAAATGCTCCAATGCCAACAGTAGTTAGATAATCTAAATCTCAGTAGTTCAGACAAATTTAGCCCATTGGCATACTCAAAAAACAGAATAATTTAATAAGACCCAAATAACATATTATATTCTATTTTAAACAGTATGTTATATACTTTCAAGGCACATGTTCTATTAAGATAAGTGAGTACCAACCTCAAATCTGAGTTGAAAATGAGCAGGGTACGCATTTTTTTTTAAAGGACAAAGGGCTGCGTTAACCACTGCTCGGTCTGCCGTCTGGGTATAGAGGAGAGATGGAAAGTACAACAGCCAGGTTCTTCACCTGGACAGCTACCTATTCTGTGGCACTACATTTCCTGCTAGGTTCTGATCACTGTCAATCAGAACAGCTTCAAGTGTCTCTACAGTCAGATACCTGTGTGTTTTGCTATAAGAAGGGGAAAAACAAAAAATATATATAAAACTCTCTTTTCCCAAACTCCCCATCCTTTCAAAATCATACTTAATTAATGGAAGTTAGTATGATGAAGAAAGAAACCAATTAATGGAAGTTAGTATGATGAAGAAAGAAACCATCACCCAAATGATTTCTCTTTAAGACACATTTTAAGGCCAGGAGGACACATTCTTCTTTCTTTTTTCCTTTTTTCTTTTTTCAAGCCGGATTTATCTGAGTTACTTATGATTTATATTCTGTTTGAATCTGGTCCCTGTTATCTTTTGTAATTTTGTGGAAAGAAATAAGATTTCCATTGTTTATGAAGCTAAAACAAGAGGTTGACACTTCATGCACAAAAAGAATAACCAAAGGTTACGGTGATGTCAATTTTAGTTTTTGCTGAGGGCTGGTGGATTTTGGGGGGTTTTTTGTTTTTGTTTTGTTTTTTTTTTTTTTTGCAGTGCAGGTTGGGTAGGAGTGGAGGTGAAGGTAAGGCAGGTGTGAAGAACTGAGTGTGTTTTCTTAAAGGAGGAGTGGATTTTCACAGCTCCCTCCCCACGTCAGTGTTCTCCTGGTTCTAAGGAGGGGGCCTGCTTTGCCAGCTCTTCTGGATAGACTTCATAATAGAGTAGGCAGGCTCTATTCTCTAGGAAGGCTGAAGCTGGCAACTGCATCTCATGGAAGATTCCACAAAAGGCTAAATTAGGATGAGATCGTCAACAGGCTTCAAAAAGGCAGAGTTCCAGGCCCCATCCCTGAGGCCAAACGGGCCTCCTTCAGGTCCTCATCCCCACAGTCTGACACTTTTGGCCTCCCCTCTCTCCTCTAGCTTCCCACCCCATTCTTCTGCCAGCCCTTCCTTTTTTCCTCTAACCCTGCAAAAAATGAGCAGTACTGTTGTTTTGCTCCAACTGACAAAACAGCTAAGAAACAGCAGAAGAACACGACTGTCCAGCTTTTACAGTAAAAAATGAATAGAGAGGGAGGGAGCTGTTTATGAAACTCCCCGGCTTGCCTTCATAATACTCTCACCCCCACCCCCCTTGGCCTCCTGAATACCCAAATGAAATTATATAATGAGCTTTATTTTCTCACTCCTAAATTCTTCCTTAGTCCAAACTGCTAATGCGGCAGGTTCCAGCTGCCTAAATTCCCTAAACAACATTCCCTGTTCCATAAAAAGCACGCAATTGCAAGCACAGCAGTCCCGCTCCACTTCTGAGAACTAGAAATTGACTACCCAGTTCCTTGGCCTGGGGAGGCCGTGAAACCGGCGATGTGGACGGAGGATTTAAAGGCAAACAATATCTGAGGTTCCACTTCACTCCCAAGCAGCCAAGAGTGGACGAGCAGAGGCCACTCGCCATTTTCCTGCTGACTCTTGCACTCATTCCCTGGGAACTACCTCCATTTCCAGTGGAGAAAGGGGAACACTGAATTTGCAGTGCTTTTGATGAATGCACTTGTTTCACGAAGAGGAAGAATTCTGCACAATAGTCTGCCTTAGTTAGGAGACTAAAAACTGTACATGCCAGAATAGCAAATACAGTAAAGTGCAAAGCTTTGAGTCCTTTCTTTTAAGTTAGTTAATACAATTTCAATGTTTACATAATAGTCATTGACTTTTCTCTTACATCTAGTATATGCCTCGACCTCTGGCAAAAATACTATCCCAACCATCGTAAGCAGACGTAAATGCTTTATTTTGATATTTAAGACTCCAAAGAAAGAGATTCCATAACCTACCTTGGCATGGCCAGACTTCACAACAGCCTCTATACTTGACAATCTAGTGATATCTAATTACTTGGAGTTCCCTGCACACACCATGCTAGTCCATGTCTTCCTGTCTCTCCATGTGCTGTCTCCTCTATCTAGAATACCCTCTCCAACCTTGTCCACACAGTGAACTCTAATTTTTCCTTCAATAGGTGGCCTATGCCACCATTCCTCACCTGTCCCAGATCCAAGTCCATCACTGCCTCCTTTGTCACGTGTACCTACACGGCCCCTGTGAGAGAGTACCATGTTTGTTCATGTGTCTATCTCCCCTGCTGGACTCAAATCCTTTGAGGAATTAATTGTTTTTGTATCTCCAGAGCCCTGTATACTTTGCACCAAACCAATAAACAAACAAAACCAGGTGCTATATACGAGAACTAATCTGATGTGGCTGTAAAGTGACTTCTAGCTTTTAACCATAATGAGCCTACTACATGGCTCATACAGATCCTGCTTGCTGATCCCGTCTGTCAATGCAATAGTCTGAAACCATTTGTTCTTGCTGTATCCTCAGAGGAAAAAGAAAAACCTGTCACACTTCTCTGTCCTCTGTATCATAATTAGATGGGGGTAAGAGCTGGGGGACTGGAAAATAATTGGCCTACCTAATCATATCCTAAAAGAAATCAGCATGGAACTCAAGGAAATCAATGGATCTATCAAATTTTAACACATATTCCATCCACCCACCCCAAGTACTTAAAATGGCATTGATGGAAACAAAAGAGAGAATTTACTGTGGAGAACAAAATAAAACTGGTAGAAGAAATAATTTGAGGAAGAGCTGGGGTAAGTGATATTTGTAAACAAAGATAAGAAAAACATAAATGATGGAGGTCAAAACAGAAAGTTTTGAACCTAAGGACTATAGAGATCAGTCTGGTTTCCTTTTCGAGTAATAGGCTGACCACAGACAAGAATAATAGGAACATCATTCCCCAATTCCTACACAATGTACTGCACTGCTGTTTAAGCATCCCAGCATCATGCTTGCTCTGACAAATACGAGTGCTAGGTACTGATGCACATCTCAGCTCCGTTGCCATGATTCTACTTTGAGTTTCTCTTTGTCTATTTCAACAATTTATGTACCACATTTCTCAAAAGTTTTTCTGGGACTGGACCAAAGGGAGAGAGGCAGAAAAGGGAAGCTAAAATCTCTCAAGGACATATTACATGTTCTAGTCACTTTACGTATGCCACTTCTACACAACCCTCCCAATAAGCCCATTTGGTAGGCATGATTATTCCCATTCCGATGCAATGTCTCAATCCTATGTCTCTCTGGTTCTAAATTAAGTACTCTTTTCATAAATCATACTATTCCTATTTCTAATATCAGCATTAAGGACACAGAAGGCAGCTTCTAAGGTAAGAGGTGTATCATTCATTCATTCATTCATTCATTCAACATTTATTCAACAGTTACTGAGCCGGGCACTGTACTCTCTTTTATAATATAAAACATATACAAGTTCTGGTGTTGACTTCAAATTGCTCAAAGTTTAGTGGGAAAGGGACAGAAAAATAAATAACCTGGTTTATTCTCTTTTCCCTCAGGCTCTGTATTGGGTTTTGTTTTCCATCTTTGTCACTTTTTGCTGCCACTTTACTAACTTCCCATATCTTAGTAGTTGCTTTCGTGTCCCTTATTTAAACATTAATAAAACATGAGAAACCTACATCATTTCATAAACTGCCTTCATTGCTAGAATCACACGCTGGAGGGAAGTGAACTGAAAAAACCATAAGCATTTAAACTTGCTCCAGCCACTCTCCGTTTCGTGCTGCTAGAGTATTCATTCAATCATTTACTCATATTTTTGGAGCACCTAATATAAGGCCCAGTGCTGGCTGGGAAGTAGCAGTGGAAACAAGATAACCAGAGTCCCTGCCCTCATGAAGCTTATCTTCTAACCAATCCAAGAGGGAAGGAAAGTAGCAAGCAAATCCATAGATGGTGACAGGCATGTTACAAAGAAAAACCACAGGACGTGGGGAGAAAGGCACAGGGACCCAACCTTGGCTGGGGGATGAAGAAGGCCCCTCAGAAGTGGCGTTAATGCCAAGATCTTTGAGTTGAGTGAAGCCTGATGAAGGTGGGGGTGGACAGGTAAGGGGGAACAGAGAAGAGCAGTCCAAGCAGAGGGAACAGAATATGCAAGGGCCTGAAGCTGGAAAGAATACAATGCTTCTGAGGTGAGGAAAGAAGGCCGATGAGGCTGGAAGACGGGTTATAAGAGGGAAAGTGTCCCAAGATAAGGCTGAGAAGGTGGCGCAGCCAAGTGCTACAGGGCATTGTAGAGGACATTTTGGATTCAAATCTCACAGTGAGAGCAATGGGATTGCACTGAAAGGTAAAAGCTCATTCACTGAACTCAAATTCCCTTGGCTACCTGTGACTGATGTATCAAGAAGAAAACAGTATGAAAAAGTTCTTCAATGATGGAAAACACATTTAGAATAGAAAGCACAGAACAGAATCCATGAATGAAAAATACTGGGTTCTATTCATTGTACTATTATCCTGGCTAGGTCATTTAATCTTAAAATGTTTCCATTTCCTCATCTATCAAATGAAAGTATTAAGAAATTCAGAATTCACATACTTGTAAGAAACAGATGAGAATACATCTGACATTTGAAAATACTTTGAATCTCTAAAATGTAAGTTCCTTGAGGCAAAGATTTTTTCTGTTTTGTTCAGTGCTATACCTAGCACTTAGAGGATGGATGGATAGATGGATAGAAGGAAGGAAGGAAGGAAAGAAAGAAGGAAGGCAGGAAGAAAGGGAGTGAGGGAGGGAGGGAGGACAGGCAGATAAGTGGATCACATCAAGCTCCACACTGGGCAAATATGAAGCAAAATGTACCATGTGTGGATGAAGCCCACTTGGGAGGGCAACGTCCACAGAAGAACTCATTAGCACATCACAAATGTTTGCCAGCCAGCCAGCCAGCCGGGCCTCCCCTCGGTGCCAGTGCCCTGGGCACCTCCACAGCTATTCTAAAGGACTGGCAAGTTGGCCAGCCAGCACAGGATCAGAAGTCTATGACATCCATTTCCTCAGTGTGGTAAATGACAGGGAGTGATTGTGAGAAATGAAACCACTGTCCTTCATGCTGCTTCTTCCTGAGAGACTGGTCCCTGACAAGGGCCTCCAACCCAGGCCCTATGTATACATCTTCTCTACTAATACAATCCAACACCTCAGATTCTTAGTCTTTTTATTTACCAAATGTAGTGTTATAAATTTTTCTATAACTTCTTAAACTTATATTGCATAGTCTTGGCTATGTGTACCCAGTTTCTTAAAGAATTGAAACTAAAGGTAAAAAGAAGGAAAATATAAAAAGCCCTTAAGATGTTCTTTGATATTTATTAGCTTTATAGCAATGACAATAGTTACCATTCGTTGAATATATACTTTGCTCTAAACAAAAAGTTTGACAGTTGGCCTATTATCTCTGTTCCTCACAATATCTGACAAGGTAAGCATTAGGGACCTCATTTCATGGAAGAGAAAATTCAGGCTCAGCACATAAGTGACTTGCCCAAGATTATAAGGTTATTAAGGGACACAGCCAGGGTTCAAATGTGGGTCTGTTAGACAGTACAACATACATTCTTTCCCTTATACCACACATTATTATAAAAATATTCTAAAAAGAGATTGAACTACATATAATAATTAGGGTAACCTGAACATTTACCATGTGTCAGATGCTATTAAGCTCTTCACAAAAATTATCTCATTTAATCCTCTCAACAACCCTTTAAGGTTGGTATTTTTGAAATGAAAAAACTGAGAGACTTGCCAATGGTCAAAAAACTACTATGTAGTGGAGCGTGGATTTTAACCCAGGTCTGCCTGACTCCAAAATGCACCCCCTTTACTGCTACATAAGAGTTTCACTATTCAAATAGTATCAGTGTAAGTTGCACACTTTTGAAAAATGTTAAAACAGAAGAACAGGGTCAATAAACCACTTCAAAGATAATTTAAAATAACCACTGCCTTAAGACAGTCTCTAAGAGCCCATTACTAACCATTTTCTCGGTGACTGTCGCCTTGTTCTGTTACCCCAAATGGCCTTTAGAACTATCTACAACCAGCATTTTCACCACAAGTGTTTTCCTTTTTCATTTGGTAAGCACTATAAAATTCTATTTCTTAAACTGCAATCAAATGGAACTTATATACCTGCATCCAAATCTTCAAACACACCAAAATGTATACTAGTTACTCAGTCCACAATTCTCACCACTAAACAATGTTGAGTGGTTAGAAAGATGTTCAAAGTCACTGTGCAAACTCCTCACCTGCCATGTAATATCTTAGTCTTCACGGTTTTGTAATAAGTTCTAGGTTATAACAAGCTTTTTAAGATATTCCTGACATTACTACCTCCCTATCAGTTATAATACTTTCTAAACCAGGAGACTCCTTGGGCAGGACTCCCCGGCTATACTTGTAAAGACGACTTTTAAAAATCCCATTTGTTATTAAGAAGGTATCGACCAAGTAAAGAAACCCGACCTTGCTGATCTACTGATTGGGCAAACATGAACACGACTTCCTTATACCTACTAAAACGTTTATTCACGCCCATTTCACACTGACTGGATTTGTAAACCAAATAGCTGCCAAACTATGACTTTAAACACAATCAGTGAAAAAGAAGCCTGGCAATTCTTGGAAAAACATGAGGGAAATCATGTGCATGTGTGAACTCATGCCTGTGTCCACTCTCAGAGAGTAAAATGTAAGTACAGGAAGTACCTAAATACCTCCTAACAAAAGCAAAGTGAATTTACAAACCTGGATGAAATCCCCAAATTTTGTGCTTAATCTTCAAGTTGGGATGTTCCATCAGTATAGGAAAATTACAATATGTGTTTTAAGTACTTGTAAAAAACCAGAGCATATGAGTACAGCATAAAGCAAGCAAGCAAGCAAGCAAGCAAGCAGAAAAATATAAAGAAACTATGTCACTTATAATTACATCCCTGTCAACACCACATCCCAGACTTTTATCTTGGCATATATATAAACATTGAGTTTCTCAAATATAGGGTTGCACCAAATGTACTGTTTTGCAACCTGCTTTGTTTTGTTTTATTTTTCCGTCCAATAGTGAATTTGAATAGGACAATATTCAAAAATTGGTAAGTATAGCTGTACATCATCAATTCTCCCATGACTGATTTAATCAACCTTTCACTGA